TGATTGGTTCTCCTCATTCTAGAGACCAGAGTTCACTTGTCCTTACAGTGTGTATATGCTGAAAGGTCACTAATTATTTCTGCTCCTTTTTACATGGGGTCTTTGCTGTAGTTTTATACAATTATGATTTATTATTATCTCATTCATAACCTTTCTCTTTTTATTTTGTTGTATCTTTGACTACTAATAAATTGTCACTTTTGCACTCCTATTTATATGCTTCCACAAGATTTATTTTTTGTAAGAAAGAGATTGGAAACAAATGGAAAGGACTAGACCAGTAAAATACACTTTTGGTACTTTTTAATAAAATCAGTGAGGATCAAACGTACGCGCTAACATTGTAACAAAAGAAAAACTAAATATCCTCAGTGAATACTTTTGCAGTATCCCATTGTCTTGGGCAAACATAGATTAAATCGCGATATCCTGAAAGAATCTTCCTAGAGTCACATTATCTATTGAAGATATTATTACCCATGGCAAATATGATGCAATAATTTAAAGAAACATCAAAAGATTAAAATCAAAACCGTATGTCCTTCATTTACTCAAGCTGCTGTTGTCACAGAGCCATATCGCTGTCTTTCTGCCCTCTAGTGGTGAAGTATAGTAATCAAGTATTTGCATGACAGGAGCAGAGCCTCGGGCAGTTTACTTCAAGGGGCTTTGTTGTTTGACTACATTGGTTACTTTCAGTGAGAATTCATCAACAACCCGTAATATCCTGGATACAGTTTATTTCCATATTAATTTCAAAGTGAGGGGAGTTGGGGCTCATGAGTTCAACATTTCTTATTTATTTGCTTATTTATTTATCATGCATTTATTATATGCCTGACAGGAACGATGAGCATACAATTGAGAATAATGCACAGTTTATGCGACAGAGGAGTTCCATGTTGGTGAATGACATAATTTTCCAGAGGTTTTTATGCAGTGTTACACATGTAATTTCATTAAATCCTACAACAGTGAAAAGAAGATATTATTCCTTGCCCATTTAAAAATCAACAGAACCACAGAGAGATTAAATCAATAAATAAGAGAGGCGTGACATGAACTCAAGAAGTTTGGTTCCACAGACAAAAGCATGTTCATGTAGAATCAATCTTAAAACACTGTACAGATTAATATCTAAGAAGGATTTGATCTTTTTATTAAACACTCACTCATAGTATTTCTAAAAATGTCTGTAGCTCTGCCCATAAGCCCATTTACTAGTCTCGTTTACATTGAAATTTAGCAATCAAAATAGAGAAGGCACTCTTTTCTTCACTTTTCTATTATCCTATGCCGCAAGGATCGAGAAACTCACTTTTTTCTTTCACTGAGGCTGAATGTTTGTTCCTGGTCTAATGCAGTTGGAGAACCTTGATGTTCTCAGCTTCAAATTCAGAAAAACATAGATTATAGTTCAGATTTTATTTATGCCATCTTTCTAGGAATTTGGATATCCTGTACACATTTCTCCTTCATTTTCTAAAACTCACTTTTTGCTCATCTAAAGTTCAAATTTTGCATTTCCTCTAAAATGAAGTTTTTATGGGTGAATCTCAATTGTACTAAGTATACTACCATGGGAGGCTCATCATTTGCACTGCTGTTTAATACTTCATCAATTTGTGGTTATTTTGAAGATTGGTTACTTATTTGTCATGCAGTATGCCTCCCATTTCACTTCATAATGAGCTGAGACATTACCATGTAGGTTTTTCATTTAAAGGTTGGTTTTGAACAGTGTGCAAGCAAGAGGGAGAGGAAAGAAAAAAGTCAAAGCAAGAGTTTTAACAAGCTCTTCTTACTCTTCATAAAACTGATTAAACTGCTGATGTTAGAATAAAAGAACCGAAAATGTCTCCAGGAAACCCAGTTAGAAGTTAAGTAAGACCATTGCTTATTTTTTATGAGAATGTTCTGAAACGTCCTTTTCCAGCACATGAAAGAACCCCTTCAGCCTTCTTCTCTTTGATCAGGTTGAGGCATTTTATAACTCTAAAGCAACCACACTTCAACTTCTTTCTATCAAGCTTACCCCTTCTTCCCTGGCCTATTTTCTCCACTTTTGTAGGTCAATACTTAACCTATCAAATAGAATTATTCCAACTCTTAGCCTTTAAATGAAGAGGGGGAGAAGTATTTTGTGTGTTCTCTTCAATCCTTTCTGTCTCACCAGACATTTAGAGAAGCCAACTGTAGTGTACTCAGTTTTACATTAATCATAAAGTACTGTGTATTAAATAACTATGTTATTTTCCTATACAAGCAAAAGAGCAATAGGATTATATATTTTTCCCACTAACACGATTGCTCATATATATATATACATAGTGTATGATCAAAGTACCTATTTAAAACTTAATTTATATTTATTTTTAAAATGCAATTGCTGAAAAAGTTTCTATTTTGTTGTTCAGTGTAACAAGAATTAAAAGGACTACAATTGTAGATGGCAAATACCAAGGAAGGTTTTTTTGAATAAGAAAAAGCCCTACCATATAAACAAAGTATCAAGGAATAATCAGGGAATGGCTGTTTTTAACAGATGCATGAGAAAAGTAACAACACTTTCTTCTTTGTGAGTTTTCCTATCCTTTATTATATTTTTCAACAATTTGGATATTGAACTAATAATCTGCTTACTTGTTTGTTTCCCTCAATAGACAGGGAATTTTATGAGGGACTATGTTTAATTGTTGTAATCTTAATACACAAAACATTGTGTTTATCTGTGTATATCATAGTAGAAGCTCAGCAAACATTAACTGTGTGAAATACTAGAAAGTTCATTAATATGAGGAGTAATGGGAGGCATATTGAATAACAATTAAATAACCAGTCTTAAAAATAACAGCTAAATGATGAGGTATTAAGCAGCCATGTAAATGATGAACATTTCACTGTGCTATATATAGTATGACTAACTTTGTCTTTTTTCTATCAACTTACCAATTATGGCTTTATAAACATAATTTTTTAAAAATGGAAATGATATCTTAAAAGAATGGCTTAACACCCCAGAGTTACTACCAGTATATCCACTCAGATACATGGTGATTACAAGCAGCCACAGGTAAGAGAGGATTTGAATAAAATAATAAGGTTTTGATTATGATAAATCAACTGGTACCAGATTTGGTTTCCCCTCATAATCAACCATAGAAGTGGACAAATTACCTGTGTTAGTCAGCTTTCCATTATTGTAACAAAATACCTGAGAGAAACAACTTATAAGAAAGAATGGTTTATTTTGCCTTAGAGCTGCTGAGCTTTCAGTCCATGTTAACTGACTTTGTTTTCTCTGGGTCTGTGGTGCAGCAGAGCTTCTGGTTAGGAATATATGGTAGAGTAAAGCTGGACATCTCATGAGAGTTATGAACAGAAAGCATGAAAGGAAATAGCTAGGAACAAAATATCCACTCAAAAGCATATCTCTAGTGACCTACTTACTCCAACTCGACTACCTTCTTAAAGTTTCCACAACCTTTTAGTAATGACACCAGCTGGAGACTAAGTCTTCAACATGTGAGCCTTTTGAAGATGTTCCAAATGTATACAACTATATATGTTAAGCAAAACTTTTTAGCCTTGGATAGCAGAGAGCTCTCTGCTTGAGGACAATGTCCTGAACACAATGCAGAGAACTGGAATCCAAGCAGAGTATAAAAACCTCATTGAACTGAGGAGGTAGAAATCACAGTTCAGGGAAGCGGAAATGGTTGGAATTCAGTGTAAAAGAGGAAGGAGCTGCACAAAAGAAAGACACCCAGGAGTCAGAGGAAGACTGCTGCAGGGTTACTTGACTAGCCTCCCTGGTGAAAATGCATGATGCTGCTATGAGGTTAAGAGGGGAAAAAGACACTAGAGGTAAGCCAAGCCTGGGAGACATTGGAAGTCTCACTTAGCTAGTGTGTAAAGTCCTCATTAATACCCCAGTAGCATCTAGATCATCAAGCTGAGATACCGTAAAGCCTGTGCCTTAAGATTAATAAGTATAGGGGCTGGGGATTTAGCTCAGCGGCAAAAGCACCTGCCTGGTAAGCGCAAGGTCGTGAGTTCGGTTCCCGGTACCAGAGAAAAACAAAAACAAAAACAAACAAACAAACAAAAAGATTAATAAGTATACTATGGTCAATAGTAGGTCTACCTTAATATAGAAAACAAAAACCTGAAAAAATATTGGGGGGATGTAAAGTGGGAAGCTGAGTTCCACCAACCAGCAGAAGTTTTGTAGATACTGTATAATTTCCATAGTTCTATAGATTTTCTTATTCACCAAAGTGCAAACCTAAGGTAACATACGATGGTTGGCCATTAATTAAAAACTCAACCTGCCTTAGTTAGTTTCTCTTTGCTAACACACAGTACTTGAAGCCCACAATTTAAAGGAGGGGAGGTTTATTTTGGCTGTTTGTGGAGGTTTCAGTCTATAGTGGGCTGGTTCCAAGGCAGAGAATCACGGCAGAGGGGCATGGTGATATCAGAAAGCAGAGAGCTGTGAAAGAGAAGGAAAGGAGATAGACTCTGCCAGGCCACACCTCCAGTGACTGACCTCCTCCAACCAGTTTCATCTTCCAAAATCACATCCAGCTATACTTATCAGTGGATTAATCCACAGATGAATATCACACACATTATCCAATCAACCCCAAAAGCTCCACCTACGAGCACATGATGCTTTGAGGGGACATCTAGATATAAACCATAAGACAACCTTTTCAGATACAACAAAATGTAAAATACTTAAAAACTCTTTAGGGAGATGGGAAGAGAATCTGGGGATGGAGCGAGATAGGAACGTAGGGGAGTGGAGTGAAAAGATTCAAAATGCAATATATATATGTACCCATTCCTCACAATGAATATTTATTACTTATTACAAACATACACTAATAAAAAGGGAAAAATAAAAAAGTGTTCATGATTTAAAAAGTAAAGAGAAGGTGTCAGCAGTTATCAAAGTGTGCAGCCATGGCTGCATAAAGGAAGAAAAAGATTACCTGGAGAAGAGATTTTAGTTCAATCACCACGAGGACCTAGAGGGGCTGCGACTTCAGCACAAGAGAGCTTCAGGGAAACAGCAGTGAGCTCAGAGTTCTGCAGTTATTTATTTGTAACTCAAGGACATGAGAACAAAGACATAAAAGGAAAGCATTTGAAACATGTTGTATAGGAGCCTTGGTCAAGTGACAGGGCCAGACTGGGATGGTTAGCTACATGATACATGTCGAAACAGTGTAAACAATCTTATCAGGGCAGAGTGAACACAATGGCCAAAGCAAATATCTCTCAGAACAAGCTGCTTTTAATTCTGTTGACAATTATCCTGCAGATTCTGCTCTAAACTCTAACCATGCACTCCAGAAGTCCTGAACTGTTGTCCAAAGAGTCCTCTCCTTTTTTGCATTCACTTCAAACACTCATGTGGCCTGAGACTCCCCACAATCAATGATATCTAGGAAAAGATTTTTAAATAGTAGACATAAAGAAATAGAAAAATGGGACACATATTGAAAGGCCAAAAAAAAAAATGTTGATACAAAATTGACCCATGATGATCCAGATTTTGGATTACAAGATAAATACTTTAAAGAAGCAATTATATAAATGTGTAAAGAACTAAAAGAAAATGTGTTGAGATAAAGGAAGACATGATTAGTGTGTGAAGAGATATAGAATCTTGGCAGAGAAAGTGACGACATAAAAAAATAAATTTTTTCCAAGAGAAAATTATAATAACTAAAAAAGTTATTCACTACATAAGTTTTCCACAAGTCTGCAAGCCCAATGTGATAGAATATCAAGACAGTGATCTTAAATATAACGCAACAGATGTTCTTAAGGATCAAGCTAAAAGTTTGACAAAAGTCGGCAGAGCCTCTGATACCTGTAGGATAATATGAAAAGACACACCATATTTTTAATTAGATACCAGAAATAGAAAAGGCCAGCAAGAAGATGAGAAAAAGTGTTGAAAAATAATGATCAAAAATTTCCCAGAATGATGGAAAATATTGGCTAATAGATTAAATTTGCTTAAAATTCCAGAGCAACCAACCAGAAATTAGTCAAAATGTGTCATCCCATAATCACATTACTGAAACAAAATGAAGAGAAAATTATGAAGTTAGAGTTTAAAACCCCATTACAACATTATGTACTCGAAACATATACAATTTTTTAAAAAACCATAACAATTGTAAGAATAAATGTGATCTTCACATCAGAAATAGTATGGACCAGAAGACTGTAAAGCAGCACCTTTAAAGTGTTTTAAGGAAGACAAAAAAACCACTACCAACCTATCTATATCCAGCAAAACTCCTTTTGAAGAATCAAGGTAAAATACATTTTCAAAAAAAAAAAAAAGATAGAATTTGTCATGAGCAGACTTTGAGTTACGTAAATGCTAAAGGATTTCATCAGGATAGAGGAAAATGATACCAAATAGAAAACCAGGATCTACAAAAAGAAAGGAAGAATTTCAGAAATAGGTGGATAAATATAAAATACTAGGTTTTACTGTTTCTTCTCACAATGCAATCAAAAGACAACTGGTTGTTGCAAAGAAAAATAACTTCATAAAACGAGGCTGATAATATATGCAGAAGTAACAAAAATGCTCAAAATAGAAATGTCAAGGGTTGACAAAATGGAATGAAAGCATTGAGAGGATATTGTATTTGTGAAGTGTGAACAGTCAGGTTTTTAGGAGAAATGTGAAGTAGAAATAGAAGTCAGGTATAAAAAAGGTGCAATACTGACTATAAATGAACTTTGATAAGCCAAAGATGTGTTTTGTTGTTCCAAGAAAAATCATACAGAAGTAAAAACAATAAGTTGGTCTGTCAATTCTAAAATTCTGCTTCTCAAAAGACATAGTTAAGGAAATGAACAGGAAAGTTATATATTAGGAGAAAACATTATATATATATATATATATATATTTATATATGATAAACTTCTTATCTAGAATGTGTGAAGAACTTTTGTTACTAGATATAAATAAATAATCAAATTAGTACTGAACAAAATATTTGAGAAGACACTTTATTAATGGTCAATGAGCACATGAAAAATCTCAAAGTCCAGAGGAAGCAAATTTAAAAAAAAATCCCTATATCACTTCTTATGCTTTAAAGTGGTTAAAATAAAAAAAACCTCTGACAACACCAAGTGGTTTTGCAGATATGGAACAATTAGATCACTTAAGCATAGCAATTAGAGTGTAAAATGTTGGATAACCTTAGAAAAAATTTGTATTTTCAGATAAATTTAAGTATACTCTCAGCTAATAACTTAGCTACTCAACGCCTAGGTATTTATCCAAAAGAAATAATAATCTATGGCCACACAAAGATTTTAAATTAAATTTTCAAAATTATTCATAATAGTAAAAAATTGAGAAACATCCCAAATATCTATCAAAGAGTGAATGAATAAGTTAGTTGCATATATTTATAATAGAACACTACTCAATGATGAGGCAACACAAATAAATCATAACTTAAATGAAAGAAGACAGATGCAGTAGAACATTCTGTGTGATTCCACTTTTACTAAATTCAAAACCAACAAATAGACTTGGATGAAATCAGTGGTTTTGTAAAAAGGAGGGAGATTGATAGGAAAGTGTATGAGGAAACTTTCTAGGTAATGAAAATGCCTTATGTTGATATTTTTGTGATGTTATGTGGTATATGCCTCAGTATAAACTTACCAAACTATAAACTATAATTATGTGTAACTCATACATCAACAAATTTAACAAAAAGTGTTTCTGAGGGGCTGAGATGTGATTGCAGCACTGAGGAAAGGGAATGGACCAAAAGAACTTTGGTGAAGTTTGCTTTAGTTTCTCTTTCTCCCACATTTAGGGTGACAGAAAGGGAATAGAAAATAGAACCTTTGGAAACATAAGAAAGGAGGGAAAGACTGAAAATCTCTTTTCTAAAATGAGTCCCTGAGAGGGGTCACTATACAGATGGAGAAGTATGCAAATAATCCAGGCAGGTAGATGGATCATCTTCCCTAGTTTAGCACAAAACGATAGCCCAAGTCATGGATGCACTTACAATCTCAGGGCAATATGTACGCAGACGCTGGAGCTCCCGTGACACAGAGAAAAGGACACATATAAGAGAGGCAAAGAGGTGAGAGCATAAGTGCCTCCTGAAAGACCGTGTCTATGTGTCTTTGTTTTGCTGTCATTTTCACTTCATCTTTGCCTTTGACATAATAATACTGAGCTCTGCCAAAGTGGTATCCTGAACAAGCTCTCAGCTCACACTTCCTGATCCAAGAAAATGTTTTTTGGCATTCCTAAGTCACCATGCTTCTCATTTATTTCCCCTCACCCCACATACTTACTGGCACATACAGTACTCATCTTTGCGTTTCTAAAATTGTTTTTATGCCTATTCCCATCAATGGCTCTCTCCCTTTCTGTCTCCATCAGCACAGTAGAAGTTCCAGCACTCACCCAGGCTATCACAATAGACTCACAAGCAGATCTGTTTCTTAACTGCATTCACCCTATGCATCTACCTTTTAAAATCCTGTCATGAGGACAAGCTTTGGAGAAATGTTATCAGTAGAGTTGCAGACCATTCCTCAGAAAGACTCTGCTTTTGTGCTTTGATGCACTGAAGTTGCTGCCTTGAATAATAAGTTTATATTTTAAAGTATGCTTTTTAAGTCTGGTGGAACAATGGTGCCTACACTGGAGTGTTGGAGTCTTGGCTCACAGGAAGTGCCTCCTGCCACTTTCCCAGGAAAGGCTCTTATTTCGCCTTCTTCCCACCTTGTGACACTCTGCCAGGCCTCTCTGTCTAAGCCCTGGTGCTCTCTGCACCCAGTAAAAGCCTGGGAGAAAGTGTGAGGAGAATAGAGGTTGAGTGTACATGCTCATCGCATCTCAGGGTAGGGCATGGTGGTGGTCAATCTCACGCAAGGCTATCAGCACCACAGCAGGTCTACTATGGTGTCAGCCTAGTCTATGGTGATGAAGTAAATCTCTTGTGCACTCACCCACAATCCAAGTACCAAGCTCATACCAATGCAGAAGATTAAATACTTTGGGAAGTCCCTGTCTACCCTGGGTTTGTAAGATGCCTAAGTGAACATCCTCCTACCCACCCTTCAGGGTGCAGTGCATAGGTCCAGTGGCTGGTGGGAGGGGTGACATGACAGTAGTCAGACCTGAGAGGCAAGGCCTTTGAGTAAGCAATTACCTTGCTAGGACCTAGGTGGCTGGCAGCACTTCTTCAGGCGCTTCCAGGTTGGGGCTATTTTTCTCTTCCCAGTCTGCTTCTAGCTTCTGTTTTGCTCTTCTGGTCACCTCCAGACACTATCTGGGATAAATCACAAAGTATTAATTGTGTAATTTTGACAATTTTGCATCTGAGTCTGATATTCTCACTCAAAACTGGCTTTGCAATAGTATAAAGGTGAATGGTAAAACTCATAAAAAATTTAAATTTTTAGCTTTTCTTTACTCAGAAGATATAAAACACCATGTGTATCAGTCAGTGCATGAGAGAGCCTGGAGGGCTGGGGAAGGCTCTTCAAAACACTCCACATGCTCTGAATCAGATTTAATGCAGGACACAGAAATTTGCAAGATTGGCCCACAGTGGCCGCCTACAGAGTCAAATGTAGAAATGTGCAAAAGATCCATCCATGCTCTAGAGATCCAAAGGATTGAGCCAGAGGCCTGGAGCCCATGATGTCCAAGGCGAAGGTCAAAACTGCAGCTCCTCCAAAGAGAGCAGCTTAAGCTCCTTCTGGGAAAATCAGAGGCCAAGTTGATCTTCTAAGGAAAATCAGCGGACGTCCTTCCCTCCCATTCTCATTTCACACCATTTTGAAAACAGTTCTCCTTATGGTTGGTCTTACACATCTAGAACCATGCTGACTCAGTTCAGATGGGCATTCCCCACTCAAATTGATAATCAATTAACAACCACACTATCACAAGCTGAAATCAAGGCCACAGAGAAAAGGAGACGGCCTTGTATGAGCCTTTACATGTCCTCTTTGATTTTAAGCAAATCGGCCTGCAAATTATATATA